TTCGTGGAGGTGCAACTATTACAAGGAACCGTAGTGTAGCGTTAAATCCAACCGTACATCCTTAGGAACAGTCACTGCCTGTGGCTGGCTTGGCTTAATTTTCACTTCTATGCCAGCACTCGGTGTTCCTTCTCCGCTTTAAAAAGGGTTTCTGAACTCAGTTTGAAAGAAAAGTCAAGCTTACCTATCGCTGAGTTTTGCACCATCTACTTTATCTAGTAATTAGTTAGGGAACCCCCCCACCACTAATTGTACTGCTGGTTCCCGACGTAAACCACACACTCTGCAGCAAAGAGAAGAATCTTTTCAGTCCTATTTACATGGGAGCGTTAACGTCACCGCGTCGCGCTCGAGGAAAACGAGCTCCTTCCTAGCCTAGATGGAGGAGACGAGAGGTTTGCCCGAGAAACAACAAAGCTGAGTAATGGACACAGGGCACAGCTGCTTTCCTCCCACTTGTATCTACTCAGTCACCTCAATCATTTTTCAGGGTCCCACCGTAACAAACACATTTTCAAAATCCACTTGCGGGCAGGGAGCTTACCTTTCTTTTTAATTTTCGTGGGTTTAGGTGGCTTCATATTGCCCACCACCTTCTCCGCGTTGACCTCGGACAACAAACCCTCCTGCTGCTCCTCTTCGAAGTCATACACGGAGACGTCGACGTCTTTGCCCTCCTCGGTGTAGCGAAGCTTACTCTTTTTGTTTTTCTTTGTTTTTTTGGCCGGCGGCTGATAGTCTGGATCTTTTTGCCAATTGGGATCTTCTTGTGGCTGAAGTTCCCCTTGTTCCAGCGTCTCCACCTCGCCGTTTGCCCCCACTTTCACTACCTGGAAACCTTCTGGTAAAGGGAGGGTGTGACAGATCATGGGCTCCCCTTCTTGCAGGCCTCCTTTGGAAACCTCGTTCTCGTAAGCTCCCTGAAGTTCTTCCACGGACGTGGTGGCAACAGGTACAGTCACTGGTACGGGTACTTGGACCAGCTGAAGCTCCCCAAGGTTTATAGGCTGCTCTTCCATATTGACAACCTGAAGCGTTATGATCTGCGTGTCATCCACCGTGGCCTCCGTTTCTTGAGGCACGGCGCCTTCCATCACTTCGGTCTTCATCTGCAGGAGGGTTGGATCCAGCTGTTCCATCATCACCATCTGGACGCCGCTGTTGACGTCCTGCACCACCTCGCCTCCGTCCGCCTGGTTGGGCGGGAGGTGACAAGCATCGTCCTCCTGCCCACCCTCGCGGCGCCTCTGATAGGTTTACTTTAATAAAAGTTTCCGATTCCTCCACGATAGCTTCGACTGCCTCACCTTCCATTTCACCTTCCTGCTGTGGAAAGAAAAGAAAAAAGCATGAACACCGCGCACCATTCAAATTATTTTAACCAGAGGGACAAGCGGCCTTGTTGAAAACAATCAGCTCGACGTGTCGTGATGCCATTCAGGTACAAAAATAACGTACGGTTAAAAAGCAAAACGCCAACCTTAACTAAACATTGCATTTTAGAACGGCACAACTCTTCCAAGAAGAAAAAGCAGCAAGATGTGAGCACAAGAACTGAAGTCTCATTTGTTCTGTGAGAAAATACGATTTTCCTGTATGTTTAAAACTTCTCTGACCAAGAAAAATAAAAAAAGAAATAAAATTGGTCAGCTATAATTCTCCTAGGGCAGCCTGGAGTTCGATTTCCGCTCCCTGGCACCCAGAGGAAGAGGCATGGTGCCCTCTTCGGGTGGAAGGAGCCACAGCAGGCAGACAAGGCTCAGGGAAAAATGTTTACTTCCATTTAAATTATGTGGACTCAGAGTCAGAGAATGTTAACGATGAGGTCTGGGTTGGATCTATTCATTTACTCACAAACAAACAACAAATATCAACGCTCGGCGCTTCCGCGGGCCTTAACTCTGAAAATAATTGTGTTTTTCTTCCCCCTCAAGCCATCCAGCGTCCTTCTCAGGGTAAAACACAGAATTCCTGTATTCCCATTCTGCGGGAAGGTTGTTTTAGGAGGAAAAAGAGCTGAAAAAAATTATCATTTTGCACCTTTTCCCCCAAAATGAAAGTAATAAAAATCAAAGTAAAGGAGTATTCCACACTCACATCAAATACATTCCCCGCAGCGGGACAGAACTTTATACCCTTCACTTAAAAACGTACCAAGGTACTGCAGAAACAAGTAATAAAAACACGTGTTTCCTTACAAACCTGGCGATAAGGTTGTGATTCCAATTCGAGATTTGTTAAGAACTTTCTGCATTTTCTTATTTGTGCGGCTGGTCCCTCACCCCGGCCAACAGGTAACCATTTCACCTGTCTGAAAGCTCAAAGCTCACACAATGCTGCTTCCCAACACTCATTTTTGAGCCACGTAAGCACCAAACAGCTCCCTTAGCTTTAAGAATGACAAGACACACACAAGCTCTTGTTTTTTCCTGCCTTTTCGAGCATCCTCCTGTGAGGAGTTCTTCACCCTTCTCAGACTAAGGACATCTCTTAACGCCTCGATAGTCACGGCGGCGTGGGCAGCAGCAGGCTCCAGAGGGCACCAGATACCCAGAAATGCTGACATATGGCTCCGTGTTCGCTCCCCCCTGCAGGGATCCGGCCTCTCCTCCTCCCCTTTACCACTCAGCAGCTTTTTATTTTTTTTATTTTTAACTCCAGTCGGAGCAAATCCATATGGACAAACAGCTGAAGCACAAGCAAGATGATGTAAGTACTTAAGGCGAGGCAGCAGGAGAGCGGGACAGAGGGCTGGTCTTTGGCCTTACGGTGACGGCGAGACAATCGGAGCAAGCTGTTCTGGGGTTTTGTGGGGTTTTTTTTTCCCCAATTATCTCAAGTATTTGCAGAGACTCTTCAGGTGACCGAGTCTCTGAGCAAGAAAACACAGAGTTAAACAAAATATAAGAACGTGGTAAATGGCTGAGAGGGGGAGTAGCACAAGATTTAAGATGGAAAGGGGAAAAATAAAAAATAAAAATGGGAAAAGCTCATCTGTGAAGTGACGTGGTTTCATTTTGGTGCCTGGCAGAGGAATGGAGCAGAGGTCAGCCACTCCAATAAAAGGACAAGCAGCTCCAAGGCTCTCCCAAGGATCTTCACTGGAAACAAACTGCTCGCTCAGCCCGAAGCGAGCCAACAGGACAAGATTTGCCAGCGGGCAAGGGTCCTGCAAGAAGCAGCTGGCAAGAAGCAGCTGCAGCGCTAAGAAAGCTCCAGCTCCCACAGTTTCATCTCACACACCAGAAAAGGTGAAGATTTTGGCCAAGGGCTTTACACCGAGACCAAATAAACACCTGCAGGCAAGGCTTAGCTTAAAGGACGCTCACACGGAGGGACGTGTGTAAAATAAGCCAGAGGACTCGTCACAAAGAACTAAGGTGCCCTCGTTTCTTCCGTTTTTCTCCCTATTTTTGAGACTTCCATCTCTCACACCCGGAGAGTTCTGCCAAAGCCAGAGCCTGAAGCAGGAGGCAGGCGCGGCTCGGCTGTCCTCCA